CACTGAAAATCCTACACACATTTTAGACTCGAAAATTGCTCTTTTGTACTAAAAAAAATGGTTACAACTTCATTTATTACTACATTTTGTACAAATAAATTATTTCTAAAACTAATATATTACTTTACAAAAATAACCAAGAAAACTAATCTATTGAATTTATTACATACCATATGAATAAATAAATTATTACAACAATTTTTTATAACAAAAACAACAAACACAACAATCATAATGGTCATCGGCTAGTTTATGCATATCATATACATCAACATACACATAAAACAACCTTTGTTTTTCTAAGATAACTTTAAATGACAAAAGGTGCATGAAACTTTTGTCATATAAAATAACAAATATAAAGTTGTCATAGAAAATATGTATGAACTTATTTTTATAGAAAAACAAGTTATCCATATTCTCCAAAAACTAAGATTTCCAAAAATCAAAAAAACTAACCAAACTTGCAAGGTGGCTCTGATACCAATTGTTAGATTTTAGTTCAAAAATAGTTTCATAAACTTGAAAAATATGGCAACAGAAGACTTTAATTTTTGAAATAACATAAACATTTTATACCCACCAAGAATCTTCTTGCAAGTTATAGAAAGATTTAAACACCAACCAAAGAAGAGATGAAGAAATAACAACCTTTGTAGTTCTTTGGTTCCTCTTGGGAGGCTTGGAAGTTGATGAAAAATGTGGAACCTTTGAGACATCAATAATGACTCAACTTGATGTAGATGCTAGTCCAAAACTCTTAAACCCTTAAGCTTTAAGTTCATAACCAATATAAACTTAAAGAGGGCATGTAAAAGCAAGTTATCTCCAAGTCATCAAAGCAAAACTAGAGAGAACGTGAGAAGGAGAACAAGTTTCGGCCTTTTCATCAATGAAGGAATGAGCAACATTTCAAGAATGCAAGCCTATTATTTATATGCATAAAGTGAAAGTATTAACCATTAGGTCTTAACACTTTAAGCACATATGTCTCCATGTCATAAACATGTCTCCCATGCTTGATTTCTTTTGAATAAACTAATGGAAAAAGTCATAACTTTCTTCCTTTTCATCAATTTCCGAAAATTGTATATAAAAGAAAAAAGTTGATTTAAATTTTATAAACACAAGGTTTATAAAATATAAATTTTGTCTTTTGAGTAAAAGACAAAAGGGTTTCAACTAGTCCAAAAAGTTGTTGATGACTTATTAATTCATACCATATGAAATAATATATTGTTACTTACTAATGAAAATTATTATTTCCATGAAATAAATAATTTCCAATTTAATTATAAGAGTTTTATTGAACATTTATTAAAATCAATTTCTAATAAATAATCAACTGTATCAACTTGTTGTTAGTGTGACCCATTAGTATCATATGTTAATTAACAATATCACTTTAATATGATTCTTAAGCATACCAGGTCTTTCAATATGATCCATGGAGAAGTCGAATTGATGCATGATATCATCAAAAAAGTAGTTGTTGGCAGCCTCAGACCTGCCTTGAAGATCGGAATACAGACTTCGACCTTACCCTCCGGTAGACGAGAGATGATCGCCCCTTTCCTGGGATATAGCAACCTATGTTCAGGCAATAAGTCGAACTGATTTTGTAGGGCCTCGAACTCACTTGGGGTTGGCTCGATTCCAGTTAGTTGTGTCACCATTTTTCTCTTAGAGCAAGAGCACAGAGGAAGGGAGGGTAAGCAAAGAAAAGACAGAAGCAATTGAAGAATGGGAGGTGTAAATAGTAAAACCTTCCTTGATAAGGGAAGTTTTAAATGCAAAACGGGAATATGAACAATTACCATGATGAAACCATCTGCGCAGACGACTCCATCACATCAACGAACGTCAAGGCCACACGTGTCTTGATCTAAGCTAGAACAACTCGGAAACGCCAGGCCAACACTAACGTCTACTAGCCTAGGGGACTTGTTAATGTATCACATTAAGAATACGTTAAAGATAACAAAACTGTTATCTTTAGGACGACCTAACTAATGGTCGTGAATCCGTCCTAGCGCTAGACCCTCACCTTCGCCCTCGTGTTAGGACCCTCATGATTTGCGCCCTCACACCCAGGTCCATTTGTTGCGACAATCTACGGTCTATAATAAGACTAAATATAGTTGTCCATCTTCCATAGTGACACGTTTAGTGCCCAGGGTGTTATCCTATGTTTATTTTGTACCAATAATACATGACCACTAGTGGTGCAAGATCCACTAATGGGACTCCTCCACGTCCTTTCGGCCAGACGGGACAAAGAATATTGTTGGGATCATGTGTAGTGAATTGAAAAATAGGTATAAAAAGACCTTTCTTCTCTAGAATAAGGGATTGCCTTCTCTCTATCCAAAATGCTGATCGCCTTATTCTCAAACATAAACTCAGTAGACCATCGGAACTTCGTCCCGGGACCACCTCCTGGAGGTCGACTAACATTATCTTTTCATTGCTATGATTACAGGACTATATAGCCGGAATCATCAAGTAACGATGCCAAGTCCAAAGCTCTTATCACAACAATGGTTCTTTTGTGCGTTTTTGGTTCTTGGAAATCTCTCTCTCTCTCTCTCTCTCTCTCTCTCCCTCTCTCTCTCTCTCTCTCTCTCTCTCTCTCTCTCTCTCTCTCTCTCTCTCTCTCTCTCTCTCTCTCTCTCTCTCTCTCTCTCTCTCTCTCTCTCTCTCTCTCTCTCTCTCTCTCTCTCTCTCATATTCTCATGCAAATATTACAATTCATATTGTTTATCCATCCTTACTATTTTTCATTGGAAAACATATTTGCAGATGAAGTTTTCTGAGTTAAAATAAACACATAAGAGATTCAATCGTAATTTACAGGTTCATCTTCGTCGGTGTGTATTTAAGAAGATGGTTTGTCAAGAACTCTAAACACACGAGCAATTATCAGGTTTTCTTCTATTCGTCTTGTTCTGAGGTGTGTGACTAAGAGTTAGGGTTTATCAATAACTCTTGATTAGAAAACAGAAAGACGATATGTGAGGGTTTGACCGAAGAAAGAGATATGACGCAGCCATGGCTATTCTTTTTCATCAGGAAGAAAACAATGGACATCAGGAATGTCTTGTTCCATAGGTTTTCTGCACAACACTCTATTTATTCACGGAGGTTGAAGTCGTTGCAACCTTCATCTGACCCTTTGATACAACCGCTACCGGCTACTTCTGATCTTCTTTTGTATCTAGTTTGCAATCATTCAGTTGACTGTTAACATTCTGTCAAGATGAAGTTGCCAAATCCTTCTTCCTTGTGTCGGAAAGGGTTGGATTTCCAGAGTATCGTTCTTCTCCAGTTATTCGAGTTCTTTGACAAGTAAAACTCAACAAGAATCGAAAGTATGTCATTAATCTCTTTCTTAGTGCCAGTCAATGACACGAGTCCATCTTCATGGATGGTAATTTCAGAATGTCGAACAAGATCTCCAACAAAATCCATCAATGGATTCTAGGAAATAAATTTTTGATTTTTGATTTTGATATATAAGTCGTGAATTCATGTAACCCAAGAACATTTGGTTTGTAATTAGTTGTCACGGTTTGAAGACCAGTTAGGTTGGAAAGCAAAGGCAGATGTACTCTATTCCATCTTTGTTTACTTCAAGTAATCAGACATCACCTAAACCCATATCAACGAGGGAAGCCTAGATGAAGAAAAACATTGAGATGGTTTTTCGATGATCCATCATGGTGCTTCCCCATGGTTGCTTTTCCGGTGACAGAAGCTTTGAAGAGATAAAGTATGTAGTATGTGTTCTACAAAAGAAATGCATGTTTATATGTGTGTATGTTTTCGTATAATAGAGAGAGGTGGGGGTGGGATAGGTATGTGGGCCATTTTAATATTTAATAATAATAATAGCTTAAAAAATGAAAAAATATATATAAAATAAATATATTAACGATATAATACTCTTTTTATTTTGGACAGCTACTAAAACCACAAACAAACTTGCTAAAAATGACCATCAATCTAAAACTTTAGTGTTTTGGACCATCAAATCTTTTTTTGAAAGAACTTTTTTAAAGTACTTTTATATTTTTTATTTTATCAGTTGAACATGTAAATTTATTGTATTTGTTCTTAAGATTAGATGGAAATCAAATAAACTATTTAAAAACCTATTTGAAGTTGCCTTCACATGGTTTAATGTAATCCCCATGGTTTAGTTGTATTTGACAAACTAAGATAGTAAACAAGACACATTCCAGTAGAAAAGAAACTCAAAATTGTGAAACAACACATAGTTTGAAAAAATGCAAAAAAATAAATAAATAAATAAAAAGAGTAATTAAGCTAGCAAGCAAGTCTAATTGGCTTTTGTGATGTAAAACAGAGATAGAGAACAATGTCTTCTACTGCTGGTTATCCCCGGCTATATATATTCTGAAAATGAAGTTGTAAAGAGCATCTGATGCACGACTCAACTCTAGGCTTCAAATGAATAGTTGGGAGATGCATCAAAAATATGCTTTGATATACAATTATACATTTAAAATAAAGCATACAAAACAACATATGAATTTTGAGCTGATTTCTTGAAGCAACATAACATAAAACTGTTTCAAATATGTTTCAATGTGATAGTCCACGGCAGCAACAAACCTGACAATGCCACTGACTACACAATAGGCAACAAAATGAAAGCTGAGCTTCTAAACCTATTTAAAAAAGATAGACAAAATCAAACACAACCTCGAACAATAGAATTCTACCTTCAGCCGTTTAAACAAGATACAATAATTATCATAACCAAGATTGATAGCTAGCTACACATTAGTCTCATTATAAACCAGAAATAATTTCTTAATAAAAGACTCCTTATATAAGAAGCAATATGACTAAACATTTGTTGAATTTGAACCAACAAATACAAATGTTAAACAAGGTAGACCTTGTTGGCATTAAGAAAATCAAATGGAACTACAAATTGATACTTGACATAAAGCCAAGAGACATTGATACTATCATAATTGACTCCTCTGGGTTTCAATACGTTTGGCAGGTGCTACCCAAACAAGACTATCCATGTACTCCACGACTTTACCTGCTTCAAATTCTGGATATGAAAAATCATTCTTCAAAATTTGAGCCTCTTCTGTAACTGGATCATACAAAACAAGACGAGAATACTGATCTTGAATAAGAAACTTGTTGGCTGATGTGAATCCAAACGGATACGTATCACCAATAAACTGTGAAAAGACATGGCGTTTGACCCATCCATACTCCTCCATCACCCACACCACACATCCAACATCTTTATAACATGACATCACACAAAGCTTCCCCCCCAAAGCTCCTAAAAGAACCATTATGCGGTCATGATATAGTGTAGAATCTGGAAAAGGTATTTCACGGAATGTCTCTGAACCCAAATCAAATGCTACTATCGTTTTTATATCTTCCTCCTCATTCGTACAACCAAGCCAATGAAGATACCCATCATGTCCATCCGCACAAACGACTTCGTTCTCGTCGATCCATGTGATGTGTGATGGAAACCTTTCGGTGATTAACTTCCAGGAACCCTTTTTCATGCTATAAATCTCAACATCCATCCACCATTTAACGTGGAATCCTTTGGCAAAAGCTGTAAGCTTCACAACTTTGTAATCATCAGTTTTTGGATCAAACCCGAACCGGAATAAGACTTTGATCCAACCACTACCATCAGAGGGTACAGAATATGACGGAAGAGAGAGAAGGGTTCCAAATCTGCATAACTGAATCATTATCATAAGAAGAGCATATTAAGCCATTCACAGAATCAATAACTCTGATGCTTGTATGTGGAGATTCAGGGTTAGGTGGAAGTTTGATGAAACTAATGAGTTGGGGATTGGGGTTGACCGAGAGTTTGAAGCCATAATAATGGTCATCAGAGAAGTGAAAGAGAGTTTTATCTTGGTTATAGATGGAATGATTGAGTTGGGTTCTTACAAAGGAGGATTTAGATAATAGGGAATTCCAAGATTTAGAGATGGATCTCATTTGAGCAAGCTGTTTGGCCAATAAGCGAATGAATATATTTACCAAAAGCTCGTTTGGGAGGTTCTCAATAGTTGTTGATTGTCGTGGTGAACCCATCATTGTTGCATTTTTGTAAATAAACTTTGAGTCTTGTCTCAATGCTATTGGGCCAGTGCCCATGGTGCTACCTTTGTTGGCATCAGCAGGTGAAGCAATCTGTTTCTCAAAAACCTCATAATATAAGTACCACATATTGCACTTGAAAATGTAATCATGGATTGATGCTCAAAAGGAACAACAAAACCACCAAAAGAGGTGCATCAAAATATCACTCACTCTTGAAATTTTAGAAGCAGCAAGGAAGTTATCAGAAGGTGACTCCTCGATGGTTCTTGAATGCAACAATGCTATCAAGTACAGGGTTTCAGACCTGTAGTAGCAGTATATGTATATATACCACATCAGTAGTGACAAAATAATATATATTCCAAATAACGAATCACGTTAAATCTTGTCTAGATCAAATGATCTTTTGATTTTGGAAATTTTTTTACAATTTCAAAATAAGACGCAATGTCCACACCGTATTTTACCGCAAAATCAAGTTTTAGTATGTATATGTCATTTGAAAAGAAATTGCAGTTCAAATGTGAACTATAGGACTGTACTAAAAAAAAGACTGACCTAGTAAAGGTTCTCTGTTTCAAGATTTGTTCAATCTCTGATATCCCAATGGTAGCAGAAATGTTAGCATAATTCCTACCTTGATTAGTGCTAAGTTCTGATCCTCCAGTTGAATTCTGCAGTCAGGAAATAATTAAGACAAGTAAACATTATTATTATTATTATTTGATCCTCTAAGGTACCAAACTTAGAGCTAGTGAAGTGTGGTCTACTGGTAACCTTTTCTTTGAACTTGTCTTCGAAGAAATTAAAGACCTTTTTTATAATGTCTGGATATTATTATTGATTGCGTAGAGAAGAGAAATAGTACGCCCAAGAATAAAGCAAAATTTAAAAATGCTATTACCATAATTATTGACATCATTATATATACCACATTCTAATATCTGAAGCACACAAACAAAATGATTCAAGACAACACACAAAGCACACACCCTAATCACCTATGTTTGTAATCAACAACTTACATTTTTCCCTGCCTCCTGAGAAATATTCTGGGGTTCTTCATCGATCTCTGGTCACGTAAGAGCTTTTGTAAGAAACATGTACATCATAAGCTGAGATTCAAATGAAGTAATACAAAGGCTATGTATCATAAATATCTTAAGTTCCAGCCAGACAAATACAAGCTTTTGTAACAAGATTGACACATTGCCGCTTATCGCTTATTACAAGAAAAATAATGCTTTAAAGATGCAGATCTATGAAAGACAAATGGATATATACTTAAGTTCATAACCTAGTCTGAAGACAATGATCCAGATGCAATAGTTAGTGTAGTCTGTGTAATGGTTTGACCAATAACAACTATGATTATGTTTCAGCTATCACCTTATAAAAGTGTCATATACCATTGTACTTATCTTTACTCTAATATCAAATTATCTCATCAGGAAACAGTATATACTATCCTAACTAATGATTAGCACAACTCAAAATTTTAAAAATCCTAATTCGCACATGAACGTAGCTTTCTGCAGCCAAATTTTATCATGATACAAATTAAATGAGTTAAATTGACTGGTTGGTTATATGCAAGTAGCTTTCTGCAGCCATATTAAAGAAAACTTTAAGCACTAGTAGAAACATGCAGCAATAGTATTCAACCATTAGAAAATAAAAACTTCTAAAGATAAGATAAGACCTACTAAATAATAAGAGATACGCATAATTTAATGACCAGTTAACACCTGCGCTATCAACCAAGACGAAACTAAAACCTACTTCCATTATGATGTGGCAAAATGAATGCCTTTCTACAGCTAATCAACTGAAAAAGAATGCAACAATCATACAATGAAACAAAGAAAAAGCTAATGCAAAGCCACACAAGTTATGATAGCCATGAAAATATCTGAATGCAACCAAATAGGCCTTAATTAAGTAAGCTCAAATGGGCAAGAATTAACCAAAAAATGATGTAAGTGAGAGCAAAAGTGCAAAACCTGGCTCGAAAGGCCTCTTACAGAGTTTTTTCCCAACACCATCGCTTTTGTAGGGAGCCCTTCCATCACCTGTTGTCGCCATAGGGAAGCTGAAGCTGTAGAAGAGAGGAAATGTGTATACAAAAAGTGAAAGATGGAGAGTAAATCAAGGATATTCATTTAATGCAGTTAATTTTCAAATTATCATAGAAGGCGCAAGTAATAATATGATTTGTAAGCATCTTGACAACATCTCCATATAATACAGTCACAGCAAACATCTTTTTAATAATAAATAAACCCCATCCCCTATTATAACCACCATTCAAAGCCGCAGCACACCAAAATACCATACTATAAACCCAACTTAACCACCTCATTAATATTTTTTAATCCGTATTTGTGTTAATGGTTGAATCTTCCCTTTAACTTAATATTCTACTATGTTATATGTTTTCTTTGCATAAAATAATTGTAGTATATTATTTTAACATTATATAGACATGTTTAATGATTACACTATAAAATTCTACAAAAAAAATATAAAGTTAGATATTTGGTAATGCTATAAGCTTACTGTCAGCAACATGTTATAACAACCACATAAAAATTTGTTATAAGTCAGAAAGATTAGTTAGTATAGATTGTCTGTATGCACTAATAACAGATCAAATCTCATGATGTCACTCCTACCATCACCGTTAATAGCTCAATAGAATATCATTTGCAAAACATGGCTAGTGTGGTTTCTGTGTTTCTATATTTTTATTTCATTCAGGCATTTTAACGAACACCTAGAAAGCGTCAAACCAACTGAATAAATTTATTGTTTTTTTTTTTTCTATAAAAGCAGATCACGAGACCATGTAGAGAAATTAACTGTGTCCTAAAATAAATAATAACTTAAAACTTTTGACTTTCATTTTTAGACGTCTTGATAACTTGTTCTGAAATTTGCTTTGTTAGCGCGTCTTTCAACAGGTCGGCATATGCAAATAGAAGTAAGTGTAGCCAGTTGTCATACTTACAAATATTATTTTACCAGATTGACAGAGCACCTCGATGAGAACCGATGCTTCTGAACAGATTTGAGGATGGCAGATCGATGGGAACAATGGAGGAGAGTAGATCACTAGATTGATAAGAGCAAAAAACTAGGAGAGACGTAGAATACGTGATGGTTATCGTAAAAGGTGTTTACGCCTAAGGAGAATACCCGAAAAAAATTCCATAACGCCTGGTTCCCGAATTTTAGGAAAAAAAAAAAAAAAAAAAAAAACAAAAACTAAAAAACTAGGACTATAGAAGGTTCAAAATCAAAAACTTTCAGTGATTTTGATAAAAAAAAAAACTTAAAAAGACCATTATGCCATTTTATTTTATTTTTTGTATTTTTTATAATTATCCTAATACTAATTATTTAAAAAAAAATTATCCTCTTACCCCACCCACCCCGCCCCACTATTCTCCCTCTCCCTCCCCCTCTCTCTCTCTCTCAAAATGTCAAAAAAAAAAAAAAAACCCGATTATCTTCTTCTTCCCCTTCTTAATTAGAAACTGCTCATACAAGAAGCAAATTCATATGGGAGATTGTGTTTTCTCCATTTTTCTGTCCGGTCCCCGTAGCCCTTCATCAGGAAACCTCCTTATCCCTTCATCTTCTCCATTTTTTCTGTAGCTCTGCTCCTTCATTGACTGTCAAATCTACAGAACTGATGAGTATTTTTGGTTTCAGGTGGGTTTCTGACGGTGTTATTTCCAACAGAGAGAGAGAGAGAGAACGATGGGGGTGGCTGGGTAAGGGATAATTCTTTTCTTTTCTTTTTATTTGTAAAGTAAATAGTATTAGGATAATTATAAAAAATATAAAAATAAAAATAAAAGGGTATAACCGTCTTTTCAAGTTTTTTTGGACAAAAATCACCGAAAGTTTTTGATTTTGGACCTTCCATGTAAGTTGAGAATTTTTTCAACCATATTCAAAGTTTTTCGCAAACCATAAGGACAAATTTTGCAGTTTTGTCAAAAAAAAAGAAAAAAAGAAAAAGAGAGAGAGAGAGAGAGAGAGAGAGAGAGAGAGAGAGAGAGAGAGAGAGAGAAAAGAAACTAGGAGAGAAAATGAGTGAAAGGAAAAGGAAATAAAATTTGTCGTTCCGGAGTCGGAGAGAAGTGAAAGGAAAGTTAAACACTTTGTTTTTTCTCTCCAAATCCTTCCAAATCGGAATGAAAGTTAGGAAGAAAATTGATCATTCTATTTTCTTCCACTTCCTTCCGTTAACAAAACTCGGAAACACTAATTTTTTTTACTTTCCTCTTACTTCCATCAATTTCCTTTCTTTTCTTTTATTAGTTGAACTCGAGAATGGAGTGTAAAAGATGGGTGGAAACAAAAAGTTGTAATATATATATATATATATATATATATATATATATATATATATATATATATATATATATATATATATATATATATACTTATACTACTTTATAATACATACATAAGAGGAAGATAAAAAATTTTAAAACCAAGTCTTAAAAACAAGGAGGTGAAATTTTGATCTTTAGATGCAATTTAAGCAATTTGAATGGTTGAGATAGCCATCCATATGAAAGAAAATTAACCAATCAAAATCTAATGTTTAAAAAACAATCATACTTTTTTATTATATAAACTAATGCCCTGTCAATTATTCTTATTAATCTCTCTAGAAACTATTATCTCCTTTCCTTTACACTTCTATCTCTACCATCCAACTCAAATAACCGACTACAATCTCTCCGTCTCTGAAAAATCATATCAGTTCGACCACTTTCTCTAGAAAACACCGCTCACACCAACATTCAACAATCTCTCCATCTCTGAAAAATCATACTCTTTGTATGTTTTTTGTGCCTTTAAAAAGTTTTGAAGATGAATAATGGTTTATACTTGATATTTGAGATTTTTTTTTTTTTTTTGCTTTTCAGGTATGATAATGTGCGGACGTAATTCAGATCTAACAATCATTGGATGTGTGGAAGTTGTGTATATAATAAGTTAATAACTTACTAGGTGTGAGATCCTTATGTTATACGGGTTTGATAAAATAAAAAATTAAATATAAAAGTTTAAACAAAAATTTATTTAAATTTAAAATTTTAGATTTGAAATTTAAAACTTAAAATTTGAATTTAAAAGGAAACATATTAAATACTATATGAATACTAATATTGTAATTTATTAGTTATTTTTAATTAAGGTAATTATTAATTGAGGTGTAAATATGATGTGTTAATTAAGAAAATATTAAAAAAAAATGAGAAAATGACAAATGGAAAAAATATTTATTAAAAAAATACCAAAAAATAACATGTGTCCAAGTTACTGAGAAAGTAACATGTGATAAAATTATTTTCATTTATCAGGGATGATTTAGTTTGTTCGTAAATTTTTAGATCTAGAAACGATTTCAATACACTTTTGAATATTATGTTTCCGTTTCTATGTCTAGAAATGATTTTTGATATATTGAAACGTGATTGTGTATTTGTGATGAAAAGTTTGGAAAGTAGTTGCATATAATCAAATATTTATATGGTTTATTATTCTTAAATACAAATGATAAAAATGAAAGGACATTTTTAGTGTGATTAACTTTAAAAAGGAAATATATTTTTATTGTTTATTCAAAAGTTTAAAAAATAAACACTATCGCAAAGTAAAAAATCTCTAAATATACTAATTCAGATTTTACATTAAATGTATAACAATTTACATGATCTTTTTTGATTGAAGTTGAGTCCTAACAAATATTGCAAGGTTATGGGTATAATATGATTTGTCTATACAATTGATGAAACATTACATGATCTCAAATAAACAATAGTTACTTGAAATATGGAGGTAGAAACAATGGACTAATTTTACTTTCTTTTGTAGCATCACACATTCATTTAGTTTTATTTTAGCGATGTACTATGAAAATTCTATCATATTATAGTTATATAATTCAAATAAACTTTCGAGAAGGAAATTTTATACACATTGAGAAATAACAACACCCTAAGAAAACATAAGAAAAATGTTATTATGAATACTAACAAAGACTCATACACAAACACACATACATAATGATATAGTTTTTAGAGCAATTTATAGCAACTTTTGGCATTACGTAAAAATTGTGCAAAAAAAAGCATTTTCGGAGCAATTTATAGCAACGTATTTCCGTTAAATGGACATTTGTATATCAAGTAAAATAGACTAAAGCGAGCACATTTTGGTCAAAATGAGATAGTTTTTGGAAAGGTCAAATTGACAAAAATGCGGCCATTTTCGCATCAGGTCAAAATTGTGCTATAAAAATAACATGGAGCCTATAAAAAATGTAATTATTAATCATAAACTACAAACAATTATTCTACTACAATATTAGACGTTTTATCCGCAAGTCTATCATCGTTAGCTATACTCCAATTTACTTGATATTAAAATGTTTGTTTTAATAATAAATTGTTTTGAAAATGCTATTATTGCATCATTTTGACTTGATGACAAAACCGTCTCATTTTGACCAATTTGAGTAAAATGCCCATTCATGACTTAGGCTCTAACTTTTTTATGCAAGCTTCATTCCATCACTATAGCAAAATACAAATTCACATTGTTAAAACTGTTGGGTTATGAGCATTCTAACACTCCTAAGTGTACATGCAACCCTAAATACCTTGGATCTATGTTTTCTCTATTATACATGCAAATATGAACATCCAAGGTATTATCCTAATCTAGCATACAAAACTATCAATATAACAAGATAGAATACATACCTCTTTGATGTAGAATGTCTTCATGAAGCTTGAGTGCCTAGTGCCCCAAGTGTGACACCTCAAATGGTTCACACAACATCAAATACACTTGGAATAACTTGAGAGAATTCTACACTTTATGAAAATCGGCTAGCCCTTTCTTACTCTCACTAGTGGCCGATTTTGATCAAGAATAAGATGTTTATATAGTGTTACAATTAGGGTAAACCCTAATTGTCATGACTTTTCATTTCCTTGGATCCATTGATTCAAATACACCATGGAGCATCCATGGACCATCCTATGGGTTTTAGCCCAACTGATATCCATGGAGCATTAGCCCACTATACAAGTATGGATGATTTACACAATCAACCCATATATTTAATTAGTCTTCTTTTGATCACTTAATTAATCCTAGATTAATTCTTGATCAATACTAATTAAATAATATCATTATTCTTATTATTAATATACTAGAACTTATAATATATTAATAACCATAAGTGTCTTATTTCTCTCATTATAGTCTATCCAAGTGCATGATGTCATGCAACCCAAATGGACCATGCCGGGTCGGGTCAAGTCTTACCAATTATAGTTATGGACTTAGACATTAATCCAACAGTCTCCCACTTGGATAAGTCTAAAACTATTATTGCGTATGACTTCAGGAACCAACTGGCAATCGTAGCTCTCAAAAGCTTCTGTCGAACTCTGACCTTGTCGATAAACTCTGACCTTTGTCAATGACTTGTCCATTAGATAAGGGATCATATATTCCTCCATTCTAGATATCATATGGACTGAGACATGGATTATAATCATTCTCTCTGTCCATTTGTTGTTTCCCGATTTCCGATTTATGACGACTGACTAATTGAACAAATCAAATCAGTCCTGGCCCGGCCGAGCACTTCCATTTGTCATCATCAAATCATCGAGGGGCCCACAGATATCGCTTTTATCCCGAAGGTAAAAGGAATGGATAAACTTCGACTCATATGGCTTGTTCTACTACTTGTTGAATCATACACAAAGGCACGTTTTATAGCACCGAGTTACCAAATGCGGTTTCGTGCAATCAATGTACAACCAACTCATAGTAACAACTCATATCTCTAGGTTTGAAGAATATAAGATATTATCGTCTCATGATCACTCGTGATAAAATCCATGAAGTGATTCCAATGAGCGCGGGTTGAATCCAATACTCAGAACTTATGAGCACTCATGAGTGTTGTAGCCCTTTGTCCAACACCTTAGACCTCTACAAGCCAACCCATGACAGTCTTAATTCATATCTACTTCCAACATATGACCGACTGTGGATGGTTTGAATAACTTAGTCATTCCGAAGAATAACCTAGTTTATTCGGGAAGTCAAAACATGCAAAGTGAAACACAATAATAATTGAATCCAATATGGTATCAAAACCTATGAACATAAATAAAACACCTTTTATTTATCACCATATGATTACACATTATTCATTGTATACTGTTTCAGCTATCAACTTTATTCTTGAATTTAAAACAATAGTTGTCCCATGCTCCAAGCATGTACACTATGTTTTTCTAAACACTAGTCATGCCATACACCAAGTATGCATACTATGTTTGTCTATGATCTTTACTTTGTGAACTAGATCAATTGAACATAACTTCAATGATTCTCTTTTCACACTCCCAAATCCTTACTGTAAATGCAAGAATTCCAAATTCATGTCATTTACTGAAATCTGTTAGATTCTAAACTTATATGCATTGATCCTCTTGTAATGATTATGCACAAAGTCAGAAAGACTTGCAACAATCATTACAGAGTATTCCAAAGGAGATCAATCCTTGGAAACATCCTTCTTGCATTAAGTTTCCTTAATCTTACACAGATTGAAATTTCT